TCCCTTAGCCCTACCACTAGATTTCGAGGGCCCTCCCTTCCGAAGTTGACTTCACAGGTAGTAGCCACAAGGGGTAGGGCTTGAAATCTTTACCTAGGAATCGGGACACCACTCGCTTACATCATCAGCAGTCGACCATTGCACATACGTTTCACACCTGCGACTTTGCATTTGTTTCTAACAATGCCGGCTCAAGGTATGGCGTTGTCGACTGCGTGCATTTTAATCATCATACTTCGTTTGATGAATACTCACAGAAGACGTCTGCGACGCCTGCTAACGCTTGTGGATTTTTATGAGGTATCTTTTAAAAACGACTCGTGTTAGTGTCAGCTAGAGTGCCTGGCTAAAGTGTTACCTGTCGCTTTACCTGTGTCACAATGTTCATAATATAATGTACCTAATTTTCATTGCTTAATGTATTTGGCATACTATTTCCTTTTATAAATGTGACTTTCTGTGCATGTACACAGCGATCAACATACAAATTAGAATAAACATATTATTTTGGTGAACTGCTCTTCATTATGTGCCCTTAACTTTATGAGCTGCCAGGTTTGCTCGGGAGTCCCTGGAATAGTACAACATGCTTATAACACGGACAAGTCGCTTTAACATTACAACATGATTATACCACTGACGTGTCCCTAGAATATTACAACATGATTATGACACTGTCGATTTGTGGATTAGCATTCCTTTGGCAATGGCACACAGATATAAAATGAAGCATATTGCATGCAATATTTCTATAAAACATGCACACGTTTTGCATAAACAATGTGTTTATGTTGCATAAACAATATATGTCAGGAACAATGTCTTTTACATATTCCACGATGTAGAGTAATGCACTTAGAAGACTATTGCACGAAACACGTACAGAAAACAATCGGGGGTGAGTTTCCCAAAAGTGTTGTAGCCAAAAAACTACGTAAAAAGGACTTTGAATGCTCTCTCTCTGAATAAATACGTTCTTAAGAAGACAATTTTGTGAAAATCACCCCTGCTCGGTTCTTTTTCTATAAATACTACAGAGATACTGCTCTGTCTCTTCGCACGGAATAAGCAATTTTCAGAAAATTGTTTTTGAAAAATTCAACCTCATATTCCGTTTCACTTACATTAAACTGATTGCAAGCGTATTTATAAAGATGTATTTACATTTATGAGCTTCTTTCCCCACACCACTAGCCATCGTTTCTTTTTCTTGTTGTGTATTGCAATGCATTGTGGGAATTTTCTTCTTTCACTCGCTTTTGAGTCAGCATATGAAAAAATCTCCATTTCGAGGGCTATCTTGAGGGCTGAACACCACTACCCCTCGCTGCTAAAAAGAAATGGGACAACACTACCCTACGCGGGTACGCACAAAACGGAGGGGTAGGGCTAAGTGGGGGTATTGGGATTGGGCCAAAGTCTAACCAGCGGTACCCAAGGATTCCCCGAAGAGACACAGTACCGAAGGAGTCCAGTCTTCATCTCAGCTCATTGGATAGCGTCCATCTCTCACAGCCATACAGCAAGACAGGGAGCACCAGGACACTAAAGACTTGGACCTTCGTCCTTGCAAAGATATCAGGAGCACCACACACCCCTTCCTAGCGACCTCATGGCCCCCCCATGCTCTTCCAATCTGTCTGCTGACTTCATAGGAAAAGTCACCAGAGACATGAATGTCGCTGCTGAGGTAAGTAAATCTCTCAACAATGTTGACATTCTCCCCACAGACATACTGCTGATGGCTGTGCCTAAGAAGTCATTTAATGCCTGGATCTTGGTCTTTATCTAGGACACCCGCAATCCCAGACACTCAGACTCCTCGCTCAGTCTCTTAGAGCCCCAATCAGAGCCTCCATTGACTCCACTAAGACCATAGCATCGTCGGCAAAGTCAAGATAAGTAAATCTTTCTTCACCAATGGATGCCCCACAGCTACTGGACCCCACGACCCTGCCCAACACCCAGTCCATGCAAGCATTCAATAGAGTGGGAGCAAGAACACACCCCTGGTGAACCCCAGAATCAACTGAGAAGAACGCAAAGGTTCTCCCTCCACTCTGCATAGAACTCACAGTACCAGTGTACAGGCCGGCCATGACATCCAGCAACCTTGGGGGGATCCCACAAAGTTTTCCCTACCCCCAGCTGATTCACCACCAATCTCAGTGAGATTGGGTAGTTCACAGCTCATTGGAGGATCAGCCTCGAGAACTGTGGATCCAGAGATGTCTAACATAAACAACTGCTCAAAGTAGCTGGCTCAACACAACTGCAGTGTTATTCATAAGAACCGTTCCATCACCTGCCCTGACTGCAAGTCTCCGGGGAAAAGATTCAGATGTATTGCTTCGATCCTCTGTAAACAGGACGTGGGTCACTAGACCACAGATGGTATGTCACTTGATCACAGATTTGTCTAACAAACACCTCCCTATCTGCCCTCAGAGCCCTCACAGCCATCCTCCTCAGTTCCCGAAACATACTGGAGTTGCCACCAAGTCATGAACTGTGACTCCTCTTGATAATATCCTGGGTGCCCTGTGAGACAAAACACCTCCTTCTGGAAACACTGGCAACACCAACACAACCCTCGGCCATCTTCAAGGGTCTTATCACGGAAAGTCTCCCACATCACATTAGAGTCAGTACTAGCACCCAAGTCTCCAAGTTCCTCACATAAACTACATGCAAACTCATAAGAAACAGCTTGATCTTGGAGTCTGGCTAAGTCCAGCCTCATTCTCCTAGTAGGTGGTAGCCTACTGAATCTTCAGAGTAGCAACAAGTCTGTGGTCAGAATTCCTAAACTAGGCACTTCTGTAGATTCTGCAGTTCTGCCGGAGCCTTACAAGAATGCGATCGATCTCCTTCACTGCACCATCAGTATTGGAGTATCTAGTTCAAGTATGCGGCTCAGGGCGTTCTCTGTGCATCACTGTCAGCTTTGGAATGAGTTGCATCCATAGTCCCACTTATTTTTTCCAATAAGGAACAACCTGTTAGCAATGCTAGAAACCCAGTGCATTTTAGACTATGGCCAGTCACATATGTTAGTGTTAAACATGAGCAATGCACTAGTTCTGTTCAATTCCTAATAAGATTTTGCAAGAGGCAAAGCAAAATCTAACACATCTATTATTGTAGCTTTGACAACGCACATACACACACACACACACACACACACACACACACAAACACAGGTTTGCAATTATATCTTTGTGAGGACTCTCCATTAATTTCTATGGAGAAAACTCTAATCCCAACATGAAACCTTAACCCCTACCAAGCCCTAACCTTAACCATAAGTAACCAAACAAAATACAAGACTTTTGGCATTTTTAGTTTTTTGATTGCATTCCTAGATCTTTGTAAGGACCTGAAAAATGCTCCCCACAATGTCAAAATAACAGGTTTTATTACATTGTCAGGCACGTTTGGTGTATACATTCTGGTACTGGTTCAATAGAATCTGATTAAGAATACTGTCACTCTCAAAAATGTATTTGTTTGTTTGTTTGTTTTTAAATGAGTATAATCGTAGTTCTTCTGAAAGTGGTAGGTTTTTAGTCGTCGTTTAAAGGCACCCAGTGATTCAGCTGTTCAGACATCTAGGGAAAATTCATTCCACCAAATAGGTGCCAAAACAGAGAAGAGTCAAGATGCATGTCTTCCTTGCACCTTGAGATATGGTGAGATCAGTTGAGTAGTGCTGGAGGATCGGAGAGAGCGTGGTGCAGTACCGGGTGAGATAAGTTCTTTTAAGCAGGAGGGTGCTGGTCCATTTATGGCTCTGTAGGAGAGCGCCAGTGTTTTGTTCTGATGCCGGCAGCTACAGGAAGCCAGTGGAAGGAGCGTAGCAATGGTTTGGTGTGGGAGAACTGGGGAAGGTGGAAAATGAGTTGGGCAACTGCATTCTGGATCAGTTGCAAAGGATGAATGATGTTCAGAAACAGACTTGCTAGGAGTGAGTTACAATGGTCTAGTCTCGAGATGACAAGTGGTTGAACAAGTACCTGAGTGGCCTGAGAAATTGATATGAGCAGGAAATAATAAAGTTATATATTCTTTAGCACTACAATGTTGCCTTATTTTTTTTAAAAACTGATAAAACAGGCCTCATGGTAAAGCAGTAACATGAGTCAAAGAAAATGTTCTCAGACCCAAAGCTACTGTCTCTACGCTATATATGTTTGTGTGTGTCTCAATGGATAGAAAGATAGGCTATGTGGAAAGAAGCTTTCCAAGGTATCTGTATTTGCGCAAATGGCAGTGTTATTTAATTTTTATGTTCTTTTGGTTACATTAGTTTGCTCTCTAAGTATAGTAATAATAATGGCTCAGTGGGCTAAGCCTGTGTGCCTGTAATCAGAAGGTTACTGGCTCAAACCCAGCCTCAGCATGTCTGTGGCTACTTTGAGTAAGGCCCTTAACCCCCAGCTCCCTGGGCACTGCTATGGGTGGCTGCCCTTCGTGGACAACTTACTCTACCAAAAAAAAGAGCAAGTTGAGGGAGGTGTTAAGACAATTTCCCCGGGGGATCAATAAAATATCGATTTATTATTAAATTAGTTTTTGGTGTGTTGGTGAGAAGCCCCTAGCATGTTTGCTTCAGTTTGTAGACGTTTGTAGACAAATTCAATTATAAAAATATCCCCAAGATTTACCAAATTGGGGAGTCAGTGGACAAGACCCAAACACCTCCACAGACAGCCAGCACCCTCCGAAAGAGAACACTTTGCATCAGTAAGGCAACTCTGAAAAAGCTTTAGTTTAACCCCTTCCTGCCCAGCTACTAGGAGAGCAAGAGAATCTTGTCCTAGATACATCCTAAATACATCTGTTTGTAAAGTGTTCAATCTACACAGCTACAGGAAATAAAGTGTATTGTAATAGATACTACAGATATTAGGATGGAGATAGTAAGTGAAACCAGGGAGGAAAGTGATATAAAGAGAATGGCAATGGTTAATCAAATAATGCAAAATAAAGCACAGGGGTCAAATATATGATTTTACTAGTACCCATACTAATTTCAAAACAATTACAGCACATTTATGATCTGAAATGGAACATTGTGACAGTTTACAATGTAAGCCAGTCCTGTGACGTTTCACTGGCTGAAGCCTCCTTGTTTGTTCGCGAGTTTGCCAATCAGCTGCCAGAATTCCAGAAACGTCAGTTCTCCATCATTATCTGCATCCAGTGAGCCCATGAGCTGGTCAATCACTGCAGGATCATTGGAATTCTACATCAAGCCAATATTAAAATCATATCAGTGCATGTGCCATATAAAATGAAGAAAGAGGCTTTGTATGACATGCTGAGTGAACATAGTAATACAATGTGTTACATTTAGTCAATACTTTCGATAAATTATGTTTAAACTATGTATTCCTGTCAGAATCATGACTAGGAATGATGACCACATTAATACCCATATAGATACACATTTATGAATTTTAATATCATAATGTGAAAATACTTTAGGCTTCTATATATAGATTTCTTTTTATTACTGATGTCGTATCGGTATGTAAATAACTCAATCTTGATTTTTAGCACAGCCAAATGTAGTAGAGTCAGTTTAACCTTATTTTAAAGTCTCTCCAATGGGGTAGGATGATATCATGGGTTTGAATGGTATTCTTATGTGGGGATGTTGGTTTGAGACTCTGGAACATGACTAAAGTGGTGCATTGGGTCCCCTCTCAGCTGTACGCTTGCTGCTTTGATATGCAGGGAAAGCTTTCATGTTCTTCCATAGATGGTTCTGTTCTCATTAATTAATAAGTAACTCTGTAGTTATCCCATAAACTTAACAGGTCAGCCAGTGAAAGAGTGTTTTACAGCAGCCGATAACACTTTACTTAAGGCTGTGTTTTTAGTCATTTATAAACACATTCATAATGCATTATAAAGCATTCATAAAGCATTATAAACATGGCTATAACTATTCATAAAAAGGCATAACATATTATAGCCATGTTTATTATGCATTATGAATGCTTTATGAAGCTCTCATCTATAGTGAACTATAGATACCTTTATAATGCAGTACAAAAAGCCTTAATGCTTATACTAACCATTTAATGCATTATAAAGATATCTATAGTGCATTATACCTGAGAGCTGCATAGAGCATTCACCATGCATAATACACATGACTATAATGTGTTGTGCCTTTTGACGTATATTTATAGCCATGTTTATAATGCTTTACAAATGCATTATTATTTGTAACAAATGTGTTTAAAAATGACTAAAAACAAGACCTTAATTAAAGTGTTACCCAGCAGCCTTTTAAATTAAGCTTTGCTGCACTGAATTTGATATGGATTCTGCATGCATAGATGCAGGAACACACATGCAACAAGAAAACATCAACAGTGCTGGGGTAGAAGTTACCAGGAAGGAGGCTCATCACTGTGATGTATTTTCAGTAGGTTTAAAATATTTAGACATATTGTATGATTTTTTTTTCTGACATGCTTGACTTTGTGGGACTAAATTAGATAAAAAAAGGAATATTTAAGCTCCAAAATGCTTTAACTCCACAGAGCTAAAGTATAAGTAAAATAGTCACCTAAACCCACACTTACTTTATATATACATACAGACATGATGGTGAGTGGTAAGTTGGCGAAAAGCACAACGTGTGAGCATTTTACAGGTCTTTTCTTTAACTGGTGAGTACAGGGTGAGGTGCTGAGGTAAAATCTAAAATTCTATAACCCAAAACTGTAACAAACTCTTTGAATAGGAACAAATGAGACAAAATAACTCTATATCAAAATATCTGTCAAAAGCAGTACTATAAATTTTAATCACTGGCAACACTTTACTTGAGGGCGCACAAATAACTTAGTAACTCGATTACTACTCAAGTACAAATCATGAACAAATACAGTAGCTGCATAAAATACATGATGCATTATGACTGATTAATGATGAATGAACAAGATCAGTATGTAACTAACACTTAGTTTCTGCTTAATTAATATATATAAAGCAAGAGTGTAACACTACAGTATTTGTGCCCCCCCAAGTAAAGTATTACGAAATAAGTTTTATTATATTTTTAAATTAAACTGAAGTTTCAAATGACACCCGTTGACTCACCGCTTAGCAAAATCTCCTGTTCATCACAGGATCTCGCAGAACGAGGGAGCAACCACCTGATTCTGGTTAAGGCCCACTTACCTTGACAAAGGTGGAAAGCTGAGAGATCACCAGATTGTGGAATTCCTCCTTGCTCAGAGTGGAAGGGGTCCCGTCTTTCCCAGCATAGCTTTTGAAGAGGGAGATCAGGGTGTTGATGGCAGGTTCCATTTTCTGCGTAGAATGCTGGAGGCTAGCAATGACAGAATTTTAAAATTACAAATGGAATATAACACAAAAACAATTATGAGCGGGACAGCAAGACAGTAAGACAGAAGTGAGTCTTCTAGTAAGGCTTGAATATACCCCCTTAAAGGGTGAGAAAACAGATTACAAAAATAAGGAGCAGAACGTATAGTGAGATGGGGAAGGTCTCAGCCCACCTGGAAATCACCACCTGTGTTGGTCAGCAGGCTGATGCTGAGATGTCTCCTCTAGTTCCCTCTTATACCCACCAGGCTCCCAGAACAGATGAAGTCAGCGGAAAGTTGATCGTTCACTTGATTCCTTTACACATCCTCTTTCTAAATTTGCCGCGTTTTGAAGTTTCCATAGTAAAAGTTGCTGAATTGAGCTGCAATATGGAAAGGCCCGCAGCCCACTGAGATTTCCCAAGATATGAAGCCCGCGGTCTGCCGACGTGTCAGTTAGCGTTCTCAAGCACAGATCCATTATCTCTGCCCTTTGGGGAAAGCATGTGGGTTCAGAGACCCATTCAGAATGGTAGCTGGTTTTATTACATGACCTTTACTATGTTTCGGAGTTCAGTAGCAACACAAAATCTTAGCGATATGAAAAATAATAAACAAAAATAAAAATACATATACAAGGAGTATTAACAAACGTTGAAAGACAGCGTGGAATGTTGCTGTTTTAGGGCATTGTTGGGTTTAATGACTGATTTGCACTATTTAGTCCCTTGTTTCGCAATCTAGGCGTTAACACCCCCTTCTCAATCAGTCATACTGCATCTCACTCCCATAACCAAACTAGTTAAACTGTAATAAAAATTTCACAAAGTGCATGACATGCTGAGTGAAGCTGGCACACCACTACAGGTTTTGCCTTCAGTGCGTCTTAGTGACGTGCTTAATACTCGCCAGTTCTTTATAGTCAGAACTGAAGCCATAGATGGTGGAGACAGATACACACACTGACTCACGTCAGCTTTTCATTGCTTCAAAATTATAATGTCAGATCAGTCTGCATTATTATCTCAGAATTTCTCTCCATTTCTGCGCTTATTTTATTTTGTTATTCAGTATTAATTATAGCCCATTATTTTTGTTTCTTCAGTCATCTATAAAATTTTATTTTTAGCATCCAGTTTGAATCATTAAGATAGATTTGAATAACTTAAGATAAATATGGAATTAATGCCGTCTGTGTCATACTCTAGCTGGGAGCAGAAGAGTGAAAAGCTATAAAATTCCTCCATCCACACACCCAGTATATGTCCAACTGGAGCAGGGAACTCCCTGGATGGGATGTCAGTCCATTGCAGGGCACCTACACAAACACCATGGGCAATTTATAGATGGAGGAGGAAGTCAGAGTATCAGGAGGACACCTATGGGACACATGGATGATATGCAGACTCCACACAGCAAATACAGTTCAGAGGCCCAGCCCTGCTGGAGTCAGGCAAAAGGTCTAAGCATTAAAGGAGATATGCTGAGCCAGGCAGCCACTAAACTAATGAAATAGTGAGCAAGAAGGCTAAAGACCTGCCGAGGTCTGCAGCACTAACTCAAGTGTCAAATGCCAAGTTTTACTGCTGCATTCAACACAGTGAAATTGTGGTGCACCAGTTGCAGATTAGGGGACAGGTGCGTTGGGGACAGCTGGACCAGCAACAGCGCAAATAAGGGACATAACAGCTGTGTAGTAAATAAGGGACATAACAGCTGTGTAGTAAATAAGGGACATAACAGCTGTGTAGTTAAGGACAAGGAAATTCAATGCAACATACAGTACAATACAGGAATTTTTGCCACCCCAAGGCACCGCACATGGGTAAGACCACAGGCACACTATCTGTCCACCTCCCCCCCCCCACTCCTGAATAGACATAATACAGATACATTAAGTGAAATCTTCTCTTCGGTCATAAAGACACATTACATCCCTACCGCCTGTTATTTCAGCAATTTGTTTTAATCCAGATATGTTTAAATCATCACATAAACACAATGAGGGAATATATAGTAAAATTTTAATAAATAACAGGGAGAGGGAGAAGGTAGGCAAGTGAAATAATTAAAAAAAGATAAGCCAGGGAGAAATGAAGCGGGTCTTGCATAAATACTGAGGAAGACCAGGCAGCACCATCATAGTAAAGTTGCTATCAATGTGATAAGATGACAAGTGTAATATTCTATGTTACAGAGAGTGCTTAGCTCAATTATAGTAAACAGCTACAAGTAACTAGCGACAGTGACAGGTAGTATTATACAGTGCGGGAGTTGAGTAATCTGATGGCCTCTGGGTAAAAGCTGTTTTGGAGCTTGCTAGTTTGTAATTTTATGCGCCTGCTACACATAGCAGATGGAACCTGGCAAAAAAAAAACAGCTTGTAGGCTGGGTGACTAAAGTCCTCTGTTGCCTCTTTTATAGGCATGGCGAGTGGAGGATGCTCTGTAGGCTGGGACTTTGATGCCTGTGATGACAGGGACCATAAAATACGTGCAACATAACTGGATTGGTCTGGGCTGGGAGACCAAAATCTCTAGTGGCACTCCTGTAGGTGAAATCGTCAATGGAAAATGATTAATATGCAGTATAGCATACCTTCATTTTTAGGAACTTCGGATCCAGTTAGAGAGGAGTGGATTTTCCAGGAAGGTGCAGATTACATACCATTGTTGATTCAAGAGTCCATTACTAGACAAACACATGTCCTACTGACAAAAGAAATTTATAATTATAATGAAAGTTATTAGATTCCTCTCCCCGTCCAAAGACGTAGGCCTACCTTTATGTGAACTGGCATCTCTGAATGCCCATAATGTGCGACTATGCATGCATGCATATGGACTGGCATCCCATCCACGGTGTACCCCTACTTGCACCCTGTGGGATGAGCCCCAGCCCCCCTACACTGGATAAGCAGGTGGAAGGTGGATGGATGAAATAGTTTCAGGTCTCTGGCCTGAAGGCAAACACTGAAAACGGGCAGATGCCGCAGAATAGCTGCAAATCAAGAAGCCTGGAGTGGAGTAGATAACACTCCTTCTAGAATTAAAGCCCTTGCCATACCTTCTACACACTGCCGTTTTCCATCATTCCACCTTTAATACATGACAGCAGTAAAAGTACTGGGAGTATCAATTCTGGTGAGGAAAAGCAGAATGGAAGGGGAGCAGAGAGGGGAGGGACAGAAACACCTGGCGTGGGAATGAGCAGCCCGGTGAACGAAGCCCCTCGGGAACGTTTACATGAACTGAAGAGTAACATTGCACTCAGCTAAGGAAACATTCATTTCAGCACTATTTTTACTTACTGTGGCATAACTGTGGGGAAAAAAAAAGCTGACATTGCTTTTGTTGTATAAACAATTCCTTAAATAGTATTGTTCTGATAAACAGTCGGTTGGTATAACGTAATTAACTGTCAGGAGAAGACATTCAATATTTTAACCGACTGTCAATACATAAAACATATAATGCAAAAATGGGCTCGTAATTCTGGCAAGTTTCTGCCTCCATTTCCATCTCTGTGATATTTTGTTGCAGGATTTTAAAAGCATTATATGAACAATTCAATGTGGCACAATTATTATGGCTACACTGATACTTTATTCATCCCTGTGGCAAAACGGTCCGAATGCCTATTCTATCAGGCTCTCCATAAGATAGACAGACACATATAAAGGTGAGAGCAAGCTTGGGGGGAGAGCCAGTATCTGCTGCCCTGGGAGCCGCTTGGGTTAAAGGCCTTACTCAAGGGCAGCATCAATCTGCCAACTATAGGATTTGAACCTGCAACCTTCAGATTCTACACAGTGATCGCAACCCACTGAGCCACACACACACCAATTATGATTATCACTTCCATGGTGGAGAAACAAGGTGAAGGAGGTGAATGGAACTGCAACTAACAAAAGCCACAGGCGTCCGGGGTGCGGGGTCCCGTTTTAGGCTAAAGGAGGCTAAAGAAGAGATCTCAGAACTCCCTGCTGAAGCTGCTGCCTATGGCGAAGGTCCCAGTCATCACCCAGACCAGCAACATATGGAGACAGGCCACACGGATAGTGCAGAACAGGCCTGTATAGAGAAGAATGTTACTGTGCGCTGCATTCAGCCTGAGGAACGTAAGCGGCGATAATGAGGTCTGTGAACTGATGCCATAAAACAGGGGTATCGAAGAAGCTCTTTTCCCTGGGGAAAAGGTTCATAAGGGGGGATTCAAAGTTCACTAGATTAGTGAATGTAACAGGAAGCTAATCAAACAAAAAGTGTTTTTAAAAAATCCCTGTTTTCCCTAGAGCAAATTTTCAGTGTCTTCAATAAATTATGAAGGATTTGATTTGTATTACATACAAGCAACTGAAACCACTGTAGTTTTTACAAATTAAAACTTTAATTCGGATTTTTACAAACCTAAATAAACTAAGTCACAATACAAACAGTGCTTAAAATATCTTCCACATCTTATATTTTCCTTTAATCATACCACATATTTGCAAAGTGTAATAACATTCATTACTTCAGCACAACACATTCCTCTGAAAGGTAAGTCTTATTAAATACATTATAGCTTACAATGATGTGGAAAAACTCAACCACACACACCCAACACTGCAAGGAGAGACTAAGAGCTAAGTTTTAAGTGTACAGTCAGACTAGACAGCAGATCACTGTATAGGGATGTGTTACTTATGGCAAGTGACAAAAGTGCTAAAAAGTCAAATCTGAACACCATTACAGCATCATAAAACATAAAAACTGTCACCAAACACAATAGCAAGTGCGTAGGCAGATATCTCAGTAGAACAGCCCACTGGCTTAACTGAACAGCAAAACTCTACAGTGCTGACTATGTTCAGGATACAGCCTCCATATTACAGCTGCAGACAGCTAAGATCAGTGTTACATTGGCACTAAGCGAAATTTGACACGGGACACAAAGCGAGGGCCCCCCATCGTGCATTACTCAAATGCACATCATTTCTTGGTGTCGTTGACGTGTACCAGCCTGTACGTAACCTGTCGCTCGAACGCCCCCCCCCCACCAAGCTCAGGCTGGGTCTATGGGACATGCATCCCTCGAACTTTCCCATGACGCCAAGAGTCGCTCCTGAAGAGACACACCAAGGTAATGTTGCAGTTTGGGGAGAAGATGCCTGGATAGATCCTTTTACTGCAGTGGGCACACATTGCATTAGGCTGGTGGGGATGTTCAAAACTCATGCAGAAGGGTCTTCAGATATAAACAGCAGCTACCCAGAGCAGTACTACAACAGTGCCTGTTGTGGAACCTCACGCTGCCCCACCATACTCAGGCTCCACCCTCGCCCCCTCCCTCACTCAGCCCCGCACTCTAACATTTACTCTCTTTAGCTCGCCTCCATCCTTTATGTCACCTGACGTGAATTTCCCCAACGCTTCCTTCTCGAACTTCTCCATCTCCTCCTCCATCTCATCACTTCCCTGCCCCTCCGCCATGTCCTCCAGGATCTCAGCCACGTCTTCCACAAAGTCTCGGAATGACATCCTGTCGTGGCTGAAGACCCCGTCCGGGAAGAAGTCCCTGGCCAGTGTGCTGATCTCCTCCTTCCCTGCGGACTCGCCCTCTCCCAGCTTTTCCAAATAGCCATCCAGCAGACCTTGGAAGTCAGCCCACTGCACCGGGTCCAGCCCCTCAGCCTTGGCACACGAGGCCACGTCATCACAGCCCTCTAGGGGGCGGTAGTAGTGCCTCAGCTTCTGCTTCTTCTGTTTCCAGTAGTCGTTGTGCTCATGGTGGCGGTGAGACGGCTCGAGGGGGGTCTTGTCTGCTGCTCCCTGCCAGTGCCTATTCTTCCTGCCTCCGACGTCCCCGTGGCGGCTTGCCTGCTCGCCCTCTCCACGATGTTCTTTATAGGGCTTCCACTCTCCATTCTTTAGCTCTCCTTTCCACCCGTCCCTTTTTCGTTCTCCATCTTTGGGCCAGTCCTTCCTTTTCTCTTCTCTTGGCTTCAATGGCTTCCCATTTTCTCCTTCATTCCCTGCTTTCCAATCTTTCCTCTCCCCCCATTCCTTGCTCTCCTCCTTCTTCCACGAATTCCGATTATGTTTCTCACCATTTCTACCTTTCCTCCACTCCTTTTCTCCTCTCCATTCCTGTTTTCCCTCCTTCTGCCATTCTTTGGCATCAGGACCCCATCGCTCTTTCTCCCCTCTCCTCCCCATCTCTCCCTCCCCTTGTGGCCTTCCATCCTTTTTTGCTGCTCTACGGCGCCGCCCTAGCTTCTCCACCTGCTCCGTCAGTCTCCGTTCCATCTGCGCCAGGCCTTCTCTCACAACCTGCTCCCCTCGCCCCTCTGCTTTCATTCCTTCTAGCCTCTTTCTGCTCTCCTCTAACAAAACCCTCTGTCGTTCCAACTCCTCTGTCAGTCTGTCACTCGGAGCCATTTCCTCCATCGCTTCAGCTGTGTCACCCACCGCTGAGATGTTATCAGTCTGACCAGTAGGGGGCTGTACTGAGACTGGGGCCGGGGTGGAATCTTTGTGGGCTGGTGAAACAACGACAAAGAAATGTTAATATCAGCTTTATTTATAAAGCAACACATGTTGACCAAACTGCTGTACAGCATTCAAACACATAAGCACATTTGTAGAAAATTGGTATAAAAGGTTAATGATTCATAATCGAAAAATACAAAGCAAGGAATATAAATACGAATAATGGTGAGAATAACAATCCAAGCAATAAAACAGTTCTCAAGTCTAATTAAAAGCCAAGGAGTAAAAATGGGCGTTGAGTAATGATTTAAAAGTAGCCAGTGATGGTGCAGTCCTATGAGGAAGGGGCAGAGAAATCCAGATTTAGGGCCGACACAGAAAAACCACTATCACCTCTATTCTCAAATCTAGATTTTGGGAGTTTGAGCAGCACCTGGTCAGTGGAGCTGAGAGACCCAACTAGGACGTAAGAGTTCAGAAATGTAAGGTGGAGTTGATGCTTTCAAACACTTGTGAACATACACAAAAAATGTGCTTAAAAGTCTGCAGAAAATCATGAGGAAAGAGGAGGTGGGCGTGCAGGGTGGGTCGCTGTCACACCTGTGATCTGCACCAGCTCGCTCACTCTGGCTCTCAGGGTCTCCAGCTCCATCTGCAGGTCGGGCAGGTTGGACAGCTCCGTTCTCATCCTCTCGTTCTCCTTCTCCAGCTCCTCCTTCCTCGCCAGCTCCTTACCTCCCTCTTCTGCTCGCCGCAGTGCCAGGTTAAGGTCCTCTGTCTGAACCTAAGAAAGGGATAGCAGAACAGTGAATGCTGAAAAAGAGCGATCAAACCTTCATGAAGGTGCCAGGATGTGGAGTGAAACCAGGCTGGGGTCAAATCTCTCCCAGCATTGCAACTGAAACAGACACACACGCCTGCTAAACTTGGCTTCTAGCTCTGTATTAATATAATCCCTATTGCAACAACCATAGTAAAGGCTGTGTCCCACTGTAGGATATAAAAGCCCAAATTAGCTACTCCTACCACCAAGCAGGAAGTAGTTCACATGGGACAGACAAAGCAGTCCACCATGTTAGATGGCAGTAACTGAATACTAGAAAATTATAATATGTGGAGAGTTTAATGTCTGTGCAGCACCACAGGGTCATAATTGCATTTTCTGTCCCCCACAATTCTTCAAAAGAAACTTAGGTTGTTATTCAAATGAAACTTCATGAACCATCTGCTATATTTTCTGATCTCACTAGATGGTGCTCTCTGTTCAAAAAAAAGGGACTCAAAGCATGCCCCAAAGAAAACCAAAAGCTCCATCTAGTGGGGTCAAAATATACTGCGATGGTTCATGCAGTTTCATTTGGCCGTCACTAATTATTACCTGTTTAGAAAGCTGTGCATTTTACTGGAACACAGAACAAGACTGGGTACTACACCCCCTGAAATCCTCGCAGACACGGCTATAACAAACCGACACAGGGAGAGAAAGCAGGGAAGGCTCTGCGAGAGCCAGCCAGACCTGGAGCTGGGCCTGAAGGGCTGTGATCTCCTGGTTCTCATGGGCCAGCTTATCTACAAGCTGTGCCATCTCCTGACTCCTCAAGGTCTCCGCCTCTGAACTCAGCCACTCCTGCGGGCAGAGAGAGCGACGGTGGGATTCAGTGCGTCAGCACTAAGCGACAGTTCCCAGCAATATGTGTGTCAGCTGACCTGGAGCGAAGGCACCTCTGAGTCCGTCAGCTCCCTGCGTTCGACATTCTCCTCTGAGGAGCGAGAGGGGGAAACGTCACGAGAGGCACAGGGTGACATGCCGATCATGCAGTTAATAAAATGGATCGCAGTGATATCACGCTGTCCATGAATCAGGCCAAAGCAGGGACATGCTTGGAAACACTACATCTCTCTCTCTCTCTCTCTCTCTCACACACACACACACACACACACACACACACACACAATACTGCTAATGAGATTATTCCCTCAGCACAAGGGGGAAAAAAAAATCACTCTTCTTTTCAAGGTCTGATGTGTTGGATCGGGAAAAGCTAAATTAAACTGCTAATAACAGTATTGGCACATGAGCCATGAGATCCAATGAGTAATCGAGCTCCATTTGAGGACGACCGACAAAAGGAGCTCACTTTTAGAAGCTTTTCATGGGGGCTCTTTTTTTGACACAGTTCCCAAGCTTCTCAGAGCACAGACACGGAGAAATGAAGAGTGGGCGTGCCCTCTGTGGACAAAGCCACATGACATGACATGACGACATGTAGGCCAAAGCCTGAATGAAGCACTACGCAGCTCATGATGCAGCATGGGCAGATGCAGTGATTGCGATCTGCGTAATGGGGGGTGTTCTACTGCCCACCCCCTTCACATACCGTCCTCCAGGTCCACGACCACACCTGCAGGTACAGCACACCTTAGACCCTGACACCCCAGCACAGGTTAAGACAAAGCACCTTCTACATGTGCCCCAGGGGGTACAGCAGGCCCCAGACCTAATGATGGCCAAATGAAACGTCACGAACCATTCTTTGTATTTTCTGACCCCACTATATGGTGCTATGTGGTTAATAAAAGGCTCAAAGCATGTCCGAAAGCAAACCAAGAGTGCCATCTAGTGGAGAGAAAAATACCGCAAATGGTTCACGAAGCTTCATCTGGCCATCACTACCCAGACTCCCCCCACCCCCCACCACAAAGTCACGTTGTTTTACAAGATTACGGTCCTTGGTCATCTATTTCCCCATGGAAAAATCCATCGATTTAGGACTATCACTAACAGTAAAACACACTAGTTCACAGCCACAGAAAGAACAAAATAGCTTTTCCAAAAGCATCTGGGAATTAATTACTGAAGATACTCAAACTGACCTGAGAACAGCAGGGTGCCCACACCAAGCAGCAAGAGGGCACCCACAATGCACTTGTTCAGAGACAGCGCACCACCTTCCTGGTCTCTCTGGATGGGCCTGAACTCTTCTTCCTCCTCTTCCTCCTCATCCGCTTTGTCCAAGGGACCAAGGGGGTGTACTTTCCTCCGCCTCAGCTGGTCCCCCTGAGTCTGCGCAGACTCCCCCAGCTCAGAGTCATAATGCGTATCTGGTCATGCAGAAAATGGATTTTATGTTTGTTCGGAAGAACAGAAAGTGACACGGGCAGCTCACATTCCAGAGGGGATTTGCTTTGTTTAAAGATCATTTAGAGCTGATGACAGGCAGTGTGTGTGTGTGTGTGTGTGTGTGTGTGTGTCTCAGAGAGCGTGTCCGTGTATGCTTGCACACATGATTATGTCCATGTGCGACAGCACTGGCCATAGGATGTAACTGGGATGCTGGGGAGTGAAATGCCATCACTAAGAACTGGTGGACCCATGTGATTGGTGCAGATTAACAGAGAGGCAGGCTGTAACTGACAGGGGCACGCTTCTAGCGTGCAGATCAGCATGCCGGCAGACACTGAACTGTCAGGGGCCACCTCAGGACATCAAACTCGCCACTTATGAGAGGTGCAGAACAGTTTGGGGAGAGGGGCTCACAGGCCCCCAAAAAGCCCAGCCAAGCATTCGCCGCCAGATTAAAAAATAAATGTAAAAAATCCAGTGACTATTCATGGCCAAATGAAGCTTCATGAACGATTTTCTGCATTTCTGACCTCACTAGATGGTGCCCTTGGTTTGCTTTGACACAGAACAGAGAGCACCATCGAGCAGGGTCCGAAAATACAGCAAATGGTTCATGAACCTTCATATGGCCCTCGCTGCCAGTGACCAACTGCAATCCAATTACACATTCAGATGACAAAATAAGCTGTAAAAAATGTTATAATTTACACAAAATAAGCAATTCATTTCTCAAACGCATGAAAGACAAAACCAAAAAAGCCCAATTCATGCCATGTTCTTCCTCCAATCTGCATGCTGCTGCCCCCTAGAGGATTTCCATACCAGAGACTCTCAGTCCAGTCAGCCTCCTTCCCCAGATGAGGAACATGTCCTCGACCAGCTGATCCACCAACCGCACTTAAACATAAACATACTGAACTTTACCCAACTGGCCAGTGACAAAGTGGAAGAGACCAGGATGCCATACTTCACCAGAAGTTGAACTTTCCTAACACTGCGGTCTGAGTGTTTAAGCAACACTTCTGTGAATCATCTCGGGACAGTTACAGAGTCATGTATTTAACTGCGGCGAAATTAAACCCTGTTAGTGATGGAGAAAATGACGCTGTATTCTCTGACTACGAGATGGTAGGCACCACCAGAAGAGCACCACCTAGTAGGGTCAAAAAAATCCAGCAAATAGTTCATGAGGTGTCATTTCGTCCATCACTACATACTGCACTAATATCCTATCTGCCACCCATTAACCAAGGAAAGAAATGAAGGCTCTCATTGGTTAGAATTATGAATCTTAAATAATAAAGCACAGATGGGGCCCCCTGTTTACCTGCTTGCTTTCCGACTTCTGAGACCTTCTTAGCCAGCTCTGACTGCTCGTTTTCCTGCAGCTGCTCAACCCCCTCCCCAGTGACCAGGACACTGGATTCCGGGAAAGAGCCCACGGGAACATGGGCGTAGGCATCGGCATAAGTATCTGAACAGCGGCTGGGGGGAGTGAGATCGGAGACTGCGTGGGTTTCCTGTTCCAGGGCCGTGGGCCCATAGCTGCTGACATCTGAGAGTAACGGAATGTGGCTGGATGAGGACGGGGTTAAGCAGGTGGGGCTGGGGGGGGCAGAGCCCTGGCCACTCTCGGGGGTGGATTCCTGACACACCTAAGGAGTAGAGGCAGAGGGCAACATGAGGGCTTCCATAGCACTCTCACCAGAAAGCCCTTCTCAGGGGATCATGACCTGAAGAAACGAAAGCTACAGATTCAAAGAACAGGCTTCCCGAATAAGCAGATGCTGCTGTAATAACTTGTACACTGCCCAAAAATAGAGAGATAGAGAAAGACACACAGGGACTGTGGAACATGGGGGGGAGGGGGTCACTTGGGCCTGTGCAACTCTTGGAGTATCATGAAGAATGAGGTAATGAACAATCATAAAAATACCCTAAAAATAGCAAGTAATTTAAGGCAAAAGATTATATCCGAGTTTTTCAAAAGCAAACATGCAAGTCCCCCGTCCCATGGTCAGAAGTGTTCTGTGGACCATGAGCAGACAGACAGGCAGGCAAATGTAGGGCACCCCTGTATGAGGACACAAAGCCCAAGCCAGGGAGGAAAGAAGAGAGATGGCTGAGTAAGCTGACCTGAAGACCCTCTTCAGAACGGCCGCCTTCCCCCGGCGCCTCGCCTCCTGCCACAGCCCCTGTCACAGCAGCATACAGTTACTGGCAGCCCAACCCTCAGGACCAACAGCCTTCCTCCTGCTGGAAGATGGCCAAATGAAGCTTCATGAACCATTTGCTGTATTTTTTGACACCACTAGATGGTGCTCTCTGTTAAAAAAAAGAGCTCGAAGCGTGTTCTCAAAGTAAGAAGTAAGCCACGAGCACCATCCAGTGGGGTCAGAAAATACAGAAACTGGTTCATGAAGGTTTATTTTGCCATCACTGCTGAGCTCCTCACCAAAGCCCTGGTGTGAAAGTCTGCCTCCAACCCACAGCAGCCTGAGGTCAAACCACAGCAACCTCACAGGCTCGGGAAGCGCTGGAGCAGACCAGAACCTCACATGCTAATGGCTCTGTGGCTTGCAAAACTACTTTAAGGTGGGATAACTGAAGACAGGGCCACTTTCCACTATTCACTATTATGTGTTATTTAAATAGGAAAAACATATCACATCTTTATCTGGGAAGGATGCACAGCAGCAGTTAAATCCAGTTTCTTAAGAATCCTGCCCCACACTGCTGTGAGTAACCTCACTCCGTATACAGGGGCCTGCTAAAGACATTTAGCCCTACAAGTGAGGAGGGCATGTAAGGGCATTTAGGAGGTGAGCCCACTGATCAGTTCAGCTCGTATATGTTACGATAAGCAGCCCACACAGTCCTCACATGACCTAGATGCAGTCAGAGTTTTTTTTTTTTTTTTTTTTTTTTAAACTCAAAAATTATTTGATCAACTGACTAGGAGAAAGATGCATATTTGGTTAATATCCTCATACAACAGTTTCATTCAATTGTTTCAGGTGTCCTACTTATGCAACTGATCTACACAACAGACCCAGACTTTGATAATCTCATCAAGAACCTGCTTACTTTAACAAAGCGGGCCCGATTTCCCCAGAAGCGATACTCAGTGCTCAAACAGCATCGCTGACATCTGAGCCAATCAGAACCCAAACAGAATTTAAATTAAATGCCAGATAAGAATAGGACACTGTGCAACTCTGCTAAAAAATAAAAAAACTTGAAGTGTGCCTTAAATGCAACATGGCAGTGAGTGTAACAGGACACACACCCAGACTTACCGGACGCTTCCTCCGAAAGGCTGGACACATCAGTGAGACTCCCCCTCCTATCCTCCTGAGGGCCTACATTCTCAACTGCAGCCCCCTGGAGTGCAGAAAAAAAATCCAAGTGTTCCTCCATATTCATCAGTCACTACATTGTAGTACATCACCGCCAAAAAAGAGAAAGACGCAGAAAGTTACATTTGCATCTGGAGTGAGCACGGTCCAGCTGTTGTTAGACCCGGTGCTATTTGTACTAATGCTGTGGTCCGACATCGCCCTCTAGCGGTCTCGCACCTGTATAACATAGGAAAATGAAAACAAAGCATCACACACATTATTTACATGTCATTTGTTAAGTATTCATTTCGTTCAATGTTTAAAGAAATAACTATAGCCAACAAATCAAATTATGCAATGAAATGGAAAAAAAAAAAATCCAACTTGGAAAACTTAGAGCTTGAGTTGTTTTGCTAAACTTATTCCTTAGTTCATTAGCATTTAGTAGTCGTACTACTGCCCGCTCCGGCTTTTTGAGGCTCTCTGAATACTTTGGCAAAGAATGATGTTACCAAGGATGTAGATGTCACCGAAGGATACTGGTTACATCAGTGTAGTGAATGACAGTATTGTAGACTGCCAAAACATTTAGTCAGTTGCCATCAGCTACCGTGAAAAGTGGAGCTAATACTGTGCGCCACTTGTTAAATCCAGAAGTTTAGGACCCACTTCAATAGTAGCACACTAACTTTGAGAAAAAGAGGTCGTCACACAAGTATTAGAATCGTCCGGAAACCCTAGGCTGTTTTATTAAATCACTCCCATCCTTCTGCAGTTACGTGAGCTTTCTATCCATGCATACGCCGCTGAAAGTCATTCTCTTTCAGTCCAAGAAAGGCCAAAAATGGCCATCACACACAAGAGCAGCACTCCCAATGGTTTCTCCCCTCCCACCACCCGGCTCCCAAACCCGGACTGGGCTCCCGACGCTGACCGCGACAGCGACCAGGACCATGTGTATCACAGTTTGCATCCCTGTATGTTTTACTTTCTTCAAATCACAGTCGAGAACATTTCAACCTGACTAAACTATTCCAACAGATATTGTATGATTAAGGACTAAAATGTTTTCCCAAGGGTAACTTCACATCTTAAATTAAAATCCGCTTATCTATCTATCTGGATGACGACAACGAAGCTCACGTTAAGCGCTTTGTTTATTTTGACCTATGAAACGAAAAGCGCCCTTAACCGGAAACACGAAGAGTTTGCCTAGGTCGTTGCCGGCTAATACTTTAATTTTGGTTTTAATAGAGCCTGATCGCTGTGCATAACCGCTTATCTATGTCGCGCTTACCATCGATCACACACTGCGCTCTTCTGGACTCCACGTTAGTATCTACGTTTTCTTTTCTCCAACTTCGGATATTTAGAGGTACAGCTCACGTCGGTCTAATCGACGCATCCTTTGTCCAATAGGGTGGCTGAATTCAGAAACGTCCCACCTCCTTTCGGTAGCTGCAGCCAACCACGTTTGAGTGTCGTGTCACTCACTAAGCACATTTTGCTAGTGATCGACAAACGCAGGTGTAAGTGACAGGCAATTGATAGGCAACGCTTTCACATAGAGCTAAAGCAAATGTATACTTGCATTACACATACACACAGCTGAGCGGCCAGACGTTTTGTGACACGTTTGTGCTGCTATAATTGTCGGGACTTACCAGTGCTATTCTAATGGCACCATTCACTCGGACTGGCACGGCGTTGCCTCAACTGAATTCAGTTAAAATGACACCTTAACTTTAGAGATTTCCGCAACGCGGGCATCTAATTTTTGCCTTATACTATGGTCGCTAACTTTCATTTGTTTATTCCTTTAATATTTATACTGAATGCCATTTTCATAGGGAAATCTATATTTTCCTGAATTCACGATATATGACATTCATTTAAAACCTATCAATATATAATGTGCAGATGATATAGGAACCAGAAAAATGTTTAATTTTCAACGGTATTGGAAAAAATTAAGATTTTAATAGATACCTTAATTACTTTAGGTGCAGGGGACAAAACGGTACAACGCCTGTTATTTTCTAATTATTATATCATTTTATTCATGCACTGACAGCTGGGTGGGACGCACGGTCCTTAGAGACTATGGAGTTTATTACCTTGTGGGGAGCAGCGTCATAAACGGGGAGTTTAAAGCAATTTTCTCGTTTCTTTGCGTTTCATTAACAGACTGGTTCCCATAAATCAACCAGCTGAGCTAAAAAGCCGGTTTGTGGTAATTTTTTTTAATTCCCACAGATTGGCTGAAAGCAAACATAAAACGGCCGCTCACCACCAAATCGTGTCAAGAATCCAGACAGGCGCCCATTCATATTCAATACTAATGGTAAAGTCCATATGAACTGTTATTATAATCTATAATCATTACATATCAGTTCATAGCTCTGCAACAAGCTGTGCTGTAATATAGCATCACACTATACCTTCGCCAACTGGCTGAGATTAGCTGACCATCTACTGATGATGTTTAATCAGTTTGTGCTCCAGGTAACCCAGCCCCACGGGATTTATGCTCCATGTGTCCTACAAGAACAAAGGTTGCCGTTAAAATATTCATTGGATCTGTGCTTAGTATTTAAACACAATCCCCCTCCACATTTCATTGCCTAATTACCAAAAACAGGATCCCCTTTCCCAGCAAACACCATTATTTAGGAAATAATATTGAGAATAGCAGTCTTGTTTTACAGTACAATGCTATGCATATTATCAATGCGCTTGGATATTACCTCATCTTACTTGTAACCGAGACGTCAGTGAAACTATGAAAGGTTTAAATCAAGTCTGAGTATAGACCAAGATGGAAAAAAAAAAATTGACTTTTTCTTAATGCATCCACACTTGCGGAGCAGAGATATCCAGTCACACTAAAATGCACCGAAATGACTGAATCCCCCACAGAAAGGTTGATAGATATTTATATTTATGCAATCTAGATAGGTGTAAACATGTATTTTCCCAAAGATTAAAAAAAAAAAAAACACTTTGGCTTTCAAAAGCACACAAACACAGTATAGAATTTATGAAGGATTTACATGCAATGAAGGCAGCTATAATGGAGAAAGAAAGAGCTGATAATATGGAGAGGAAATGGACATTAAAAAGTCTTAGTCTTAAAAAGACTTGCCTCTGTCCCAAGCACTGACTTGAAGGGAGACCAGTGGCCTTTTAAAAGGTGGCTACCCACAACACAGCCAGTTCAAGGTATAACCATAAGGTGCCTTGCAAAATTACAAACGGAACCCTCCCTTGTGCAATATCAAAAATAACACACACATAAGCACACAAAATGGACATATTACTGCAATAGAACTGATGAGAAAATGACCAATGTTTACAAATAGGCACACATTAAAAAAGCACACGTATATATGCTGGTAAAGAGCAAACAGGACAATCAGCCAAACTGAAAAACTACCCTTTGGGGTTCAATCTTGGACTGAATCATTCAATCGAGTGAGTGTAATAACTGCCGCTACAAACAGTCCTCTTGCAACCTTACAAACTCATACATAATAGCTGTCTCAGTCCTCTCTGGTTCTTTACCATCCCTGCAAAGCAAAAAGGGTACAGAGGGCTTCTGAAAAAGTGACAAACGTAATAGAGGTTAAGTACAATTATATGTTCATGGTAGTTTTCTCATCAGTATTGAGAAACAAAAGTACAGAAAAGACCAATGAGACACTGCATAACATTTCAAAGAAATTTACATCAATGACAGCATTTGTCTTAACGGGTTTAACAAAACATGAACATTAGTGATGCATGTGGGTGCAGCTCACAACACAAACTGGCTAAATAATTGCTTTTGATGTGGCTTTACTGACAAGACAAGGCACAGAAAAAGATGTGAATGAAGAGCAGGAGGAGATAGCAGGCTTTGGGACCCCCCCCACCCCTGCCCCTGCCTCCTGCTTCACAAACTGCATATTCAGCACAGGCCAAAAGCTCAGCCTTCCAACAGTCATCTTCTGAAACTTCTAAGCTGAAAACAAAAGCTTCTAAATGTCAGTTTCTCCAGGGTGATCAACGCATATCAGTTTGTCCCATTTTCATATCATGTAATATAAAATATATGTATATAAAAGCTGATCACTGCTCCAAACAACATCACCTGCAGGTGTGACCTTATAGGGAGTGAGAGCGTGATGGGTAATCACTATGGGCTATACAGCCTGGGACTCACCACTCTGTTCACCTGTACACCACGTACACGCAGTGCCCAGCGTCCTGTCCTAAAGCCAAAACTCAAGAGATTGTCGTTGCATACGTCGATCCCAGCGCTCATGCTGTGCTCTCATAGAACGCCGGCAGGATCTCTAATATTCCAGGTTCCAGGCAATCACACACACACACACACACAAACACACACACACACACAAACAC